CGTCAAAGTGCTGCATTCCACTACACCTGCGCAGTTTAGCTTTCCTTAGTACAGCACCCGACCTCGACGCGAAGTGGGCACGCTTGTGAGATGCAAACCATTGACTAAGTTGGCTCTCTAAACCCGAAACCCTAGACCCTAAACGTGGTCCTCTGAAACCCAATAAGAGAAGAGATGTAAGTCCCATCCCCAGCGTCGACCCTAAACCCTAAACCCTAAACCCTAAACCCTAAACCCTAAACCCTAAACCCTAAACCCTAAACCCTAAACCCTAAACCCTAAACCCTAAACCCCAAACCCTAAACCGCCCGGGATCCGGCCTTCGGAAACCAAGGCCCCTGGAGCAGGCGCCGCGTGGGGGACTGCTGGAGGGGGGTGAGGCTCCTGAAATTCCCCCCCCCTCCTGTTTAGGGTTTAGGGTTTAGGGTTTAGGGTTTAGGGTTTAGGGTTTAGGGTTTAGGGTTTAGGGTTTAGGGTTTAGGGTTTAGGGTTTAGGGTTTTTTGGTTAAGGCAGGGTTTGTTAAGGCTCGTGGATTTGGGGTTTAGGGTTGAGGCCTCAAGGTTTTAGAATTCGTGGGCATTTTGGCCTGCTTCGTGGGCCCGCCCCCGGGTTTCGGGCCGTTTAGGGTTTAGGGTTTAGGGTTTAGGGTTTCCCCACCCCCCCTCCCTCCCGGCTTAGGGTTTCAAGGGTTTAGGGTCTCAGGCCTTAGGGTCTCAAGGGTTTAGGGTCTCAAGGGTTTGGGGTCATAAGGTTTGGGCTTGGGTTTTGGGTTCGCTGGATTTTGAGCTTTAAGCCTACTGGGATTGTATTGAGTGAACTTTGTATGTTCTCAATGTTATGGGTTCTTGGCTGGGTGTTTTTTCTCTAAATATTGACAAGCTGCCCGACTAGTGAATGCTCGGACTTGAGATGCCGAACCCTAAACCCTAAACCCTAACCCTAAACCCTAAACCCTAAACCCTAAACCCTAAACCCTAAACCCTAAACCCTAAACCCTAAACCCTAAACCCTAGAGCCCTGTGGCAGGCGCAGCGTCCACGACACCCGGCCAAGCCGATGCCAAGGCTGGTGTCCTGAGCCCTGCACCCCACACCCTTCAACTTCGGGTTTAGGGTTTAGGGTTTAGGGTTTAGGGTTTAGGGTTTAGGGTGTAGGGTTTAGGGTTTAGGGTGCCTCTCTATCGAGTGGTCCCCACCTGGGATGCTTGTTATCGCGGCCCCTTGGATTTACGGTTTGCAGAAGGAGGCCATCAGCTAGAGAAGACCGAAGCACTGAAGCCCAAAACCCTAACCTAAGCCCCAAGCCCCCTCAACCCGCAAGCCGAAGCGTTTGGGGTTTACGGTGGCCAGTTTTTGTGGACAATAAAGGGGCAGATTTCTTAGGGTTTAGGGTTTAGGGTTTAGGGTTTAGGGTTTAGGGTCCAAACTCGACATGTAAAGCCCGAGAGAAGCACCGAGACCCGAAAAGGCCGCTTCGGGATCAGGGCTCAGGGGTTAGGGCTTTAGGGTTAGGGTTAAAGGGTTAGGGTTAAGGGTTTAGGGTTTTAGGGTTATTAGGGTCTTGGGTTTAGGGTTTAGGGTTTAGGGTAGGTATGCTCCAAAATCCCTCCAAAACCCTCAGCCGCTCAGCCCGCCCCACCCTAGACACCAGGGCTTGGGCTAAACCGCAAAACCCAAACGACAAACGCCAAACGCCACACGCCAAACGCCAAACCCTAAACCCTAAACCCTAAACCCTAAACCCTAAACCCTAAACCCTAAACCCTAAACCCTAAACCCTAAACCCTAAACCCTAAACCCTAAACCCTAAACCCTAAACCCAAAACCCTAAACCCTAAACCCTAACCCCTAAACCTAAACCCTAAACCCTAAACCCTAAACCCTAAACCCTAAACCCTAAACCCTAACCTAAACCCTAAACCCTAAACCCTAAACCCTAAACCCTAAACCCTAAACCCTAAAACCTAAACCCTAAACCCTAAACCCTAAACCCTAAACCCTAAACCCTAAACCCTAAACCCTAAACCCTAAACCCTAAACCCTAAACCCTAAACCCTACAGTTGGGGTGTCAGGGGTCGGAGGGCTGCCACAGGACGCGCGCCCCGGCTCCAAGGCAGGCAATTGGCCAGGCCGGTTTCGGCCGAAAGGGTTTGGCCTGCATTCCTAAACCCAGAACCCTAAATTCTAAACCCTAAACCCTAAACCCTGAGCCCTAAACCCTAATCCCTAAACCCTAGAAACCCTAAACCCTGAACCCTAAACCCTAAACCTTAAACCCTAGATGGGTGAAGGAACCTTTGGGGTGTGTCATGGTCAGGGTTCGTGAAACCCTAAGACTCTGAGGCGCCCACTATTGTCGCGCGTGCAGGGCTTAGGGGTTCCGGGTCGAGAGTTTAGGGTTTAGGGTTTAGGGTTTAGGGTTTAGGGTTTAGAGTTTAGGGTTTAGGTTTCTTGGATGTTTTTGGGTCCATGAACCTTGGGGGGCTGCCTTTGCAGGTAACAGCGCGTCCACGACGCTGAGGGACACGGGCAAGGCCGCCTTAGGGAAGACGGGCAAGTGAGGCTCCCCGGCCTTTTCGGGTTTAGGGTTTAGGGTTTGGGGTTTAGGGTTTAGGGTCTGGGGGCTGGGGGCTGAGAATCAGGATTTGAACAGCTATGTGCTTAAGAACCCCCTCCAGAGATTACAACCCCAATCCCTAAGACCGAATCTCTAAACCCTGCGCCCGAAACCCTAAGCCCTACCGCCATGGCTTGAGGGGCCGGGAGAGGTTGGGTGCACATCACTTGCCCCAGGCTTCTTCTTCTTTTTTTCGCACGACCGCAGCGGAAGCCCGCAAACCCTTGGCCCCCTAAGTTCCTAACCCCTAAACCCTAAACCCTAAACCCTAACCCCGAAACCCTAAACCCTAACCCCGAAACCCTAAACCCTAACCCCTAAACTCCTTTCCCTGAACCCACAGTTGCTGCTCCCCGCGGGGCCATCTAAGCATGGCGCCGTAGCATGCTGGGCGCTTTTCCTCCCAGTTGGCCAGCACAGACACCTGTCCTGTTCCACTTTGGGATTTAGGGTTTTAGGGTTCAGGGTTATACCGTAAGCCCTAAACCTGAAATTGCAAACCCCTCATAACCCCTACACCCTAAACCCTAAACCCTAAACCCTAAACCCTAAACCCTAAACCCTGAACCCTGAACCCTAAACCCTAAACCCTAAACCCTAAACCCTAAACCCTAGACCCTAGACCCTAAACCCTAAACCCTAAACCCTAAACCCTAAACCCTAAACCTTTAGCCGAAGCTGCCTAAGCCAAACTTTGTGGGTTCCCCGAATTCTTGGCGCAGGGTTTGGGCAAATGCCATCAGTTTAGTGTGTGGCAGATTTCATGCGCGATTAGGGTTTAGGGCTTCGGGTTCAGGGTTGAGAGTTTGGGGGTTTAGGGTTTAGGGTTTAGGGTTTAGGGTTCAGGAGTAAGTCTACCTGCCCAACATACATGCCAAGCAGCGAATCTTGTAGAAAGCCCCAGACGCTGCACCCCCCTTCAAAGCCCGCAACCCACAAGCTCAATATCCTGAACAAACATCATCCCCAAACCCTAAACCCTAAACCCTAAACCCTAAACGCTAAACCCTAAACCCTAAACGCTAAACCCTAAACCCTAAACCCTGAACCCTGAACCCTAAACCCTAAACCCTTAAACCCTAAACCCTAAACCCTGAACCCTAAACCCTAAACCCTAAACCCTAAACCCTGAACCCTAAACCCTAAACCCTAAACCCTAAACCCTAAACCCTAAACAAAATACCCCCGAAGCCCCAATGCCCTTGAGATGTTTCTGAGCTGGCCTCTGGGTGCCTGTGGCCCAGATCGCATGTCGGAGCACGGTCAAACAAAGCACCCTACATTGTGAACCTTTATAAGGGTGGCTGTCAAAATTATGATCCCTTTTGGGGTACGCTAAATATTAGGTGCCGTATTATAATAGGGACCCAAAAAGGGACCATAATTTTGACAACCACCCATAAGACTTACTCCAGCCAGCTGCGCTGGAATCTTCGAGATTAGGTCCAGCTTACTTGTAACTGGCGTTGAGGCTTGGAGGGTTTTGGGTTTAAACAGAGCTATAGCTTCAGCTGTAGCCGGTGAGTAAGTCTTATGAACCTTCAAGTGTACTTATCCTCCACGTAAGTAAAGGTAACTCTTAGGGTTTTAGATCTTTGTGCCCCTACCCCAGTGTAAGGTCCAAGCAAAACCTTAGTCAAGCAGAGGGGTGGACTTTCCAGTGTTTAATGCATATTAAACCCTCAACCCGAAACCCTCATGGGTGGCATTGTTGAATCCCTAAACCCTAAACCCTAAACCCTAAACCCTAAACCCTAAACCCTAAACCCTAAACCCTAAACCCTTAAACCCTAAACCACTTCGGTCTGTGTTGGGTCCGCTTGCAAAGCTTTCAGGGCTTTAATGGCTCTTCGGACACAGCCCCAAGCCACAGAACCCCAAACCCTAAACCCTAAACCCTAAACCCTAAACCCTAAACCCTAAACCCTAAACCCTAAACCCTAAACCCTAACTCCCAAACCCCAAAACCCAAGAACCACAAAAGCAAGCCCTAAAGCCCCAAAGACTTACGGCCCTCAGCCCCAAAGACCTTTCGTCAAGGGACCGGGTATCTTCCAGAAGTTCTCAGGGAATATAGGTGCTATACTAGGAGGATGTTACGGGGACCATTTTAAGGGGGTTTAGGGCTTAGGGTTTAGGGTTTAGGGAGCCCCAAGCCGAAGACCCTGACCCTAAACCCTAAACCCTAAGCCCTAAACCCTGAACCCTAAACCCTGAACCCTAAACGCAACCCCTGAGCCCTCAACCCTCAACCCTCAACCCTCAACCCTCAACCCTCAACCCTCAACCCTAAACCCTAAACCCTAAACCCTAAACCCTAAACCCTAAACCCTAAACCCTAAACCCTAAACCCTAAACCCGAGCCCAGCCCAATCGGAAGAGGAGCTCTACTCCCAGCTCGAGCGCATCGAAGAACTGCAGCCGGGTACTGCCCGCCGCTTGAAGGACCCGCCGCGGTTTTTGGGGTTAATTAAGGGTTTAGGGTTTAGGGTCATAGGGTTTAGGGTTTAGGGTTTAGGGTTTGGGGTTTAGGGTTTAGGGTTTAGGGTTTGGGGTTTAGGGTTTAGGGCTTCAAGTTTATGGTTTAGGGTTCAGGGCTTCGGGTGCGCAAGAGCTCGCCCTCCTGCATCTTGGATTCTCGGAGCGCAGCCAGGGATTGGTGCGATGCTGGCGGCCGCCCCAATGAGAGCAAGCCCTAAAAGCCCTAAACGCTCAAAACCCTAAACCCGAAACCCTATGAACCCTGGCTCCCTAAACCCTAAATCCTAAACCCGAAACCCTAAACCCTAAACCCTAAACCCTAAACCCTACACCCTAAACCCTAAACCCTAAACGCTAACCCTATAAACCCTAACCCTGAACGCTAAACCCTAAACCCCGAAGCCCTAAGCCCCAAACCCCAGCGAGAACCCAGCGCGTTCCGAGCATGCAGCTGTGTCTTCCGCGTTTTGAAAGACTCTCAACTGGGCCAGCCCCCTAAACCCTAAACCCTAACCCCTAACCCCTAAACCCTAAACCCTGTACCCTAAGCCCTAAGCTCTAAACACGGAACTCTGAGATCCCCTAAACCACCCATCAAGCCTGAACCACCTAAACCCAAAAGAGCCCTGGAGCCTACGAACCCGAAATTTGAACTTTGAGGCCTCAACCCTAAACCCTGAACCCTAAACCCTAAGCCTAAACTTTAAACCCTCAACCCTCAAGCCTCAACCCCAATTCCTGGACTCGAAGCCCTCAACCCTACGCCCTAAATCCCAAGCCCTAAACCCTAAACCCTAAACCCTAAACCCTAAACCCTAAACCCTAAACCCTAAACCCTAAACCCTAAACCCTAAACCCTAAACCCTAAACCCTAAACCCTAAACCCTAAACCCTAAACCCTAAACCCTAAACCCTAAACCCTAAACCCTAAACCCTAAACCCTAAACCCTAAACCCTAAACCCTAAACCCTAAACCCTAAACCCTAAACCCTAAACCCTAAACCCTAAACCCTACACCCTACACCCTAAACCCTAAACCTTAAACCCTAAACCCTAAACCCTAAATCCCAAGGCCTAAGCTGGAAGCCCTCAACCCTTCACCTTGCAGGATGCCGTGCGCGGCATCACGGGCGACCGGACAGATGAGGAGGAGGAGGAAGAGGAGGAGGAGGAGTTACCTCCAAAAAGTGGAGAACTCAGGGGTTTAGGGTTTAGGGTTTAGGGTTTAGGGTTTAGGGTTGAGGCAATTAGGGGCTGAGGGTGAAGTGGTTCCGGAGTTTAGGGGTTAAGGGCTTCAGGGTTTAGGGAGTGAGGGGTTGAGGGTTTATTAAGGGTTTAGGGGTTTAGGTGTTTCAGGGTTGAGGGGTTGAGGTGTTTAGGGGTTGAGGCGTTTTGGGGTTTAGGGTTTAAGGGTTAGTTGCTTCGGGGTTTAAGCAATCAGGGGTTAGGGTTGAGGCTTTGGGGCTGAGGTGATTAGGTGTTTAGCGGTTGAGGGGTGCAGGAGTTTAGGGGCTTTGGGGGTGGTGGGGGGGTATGGGGTTCAGGGGGTACTGGAGTTCAGGAGTTTAGCGGTTTAGTGGCCTATTTTGTAGGGTTCAGGGGTCTATGTGTTTTAGGGATTTCCGGAGCCTGAATCCCTAAGCCCTTGACATCAAAGGGCGTTGACCTCCGCGTGTGAAATACCCTGAGCCCTCAAACCCAAAATCCCGTGAAGCCCTAGAGCCCTAAACCCTAAACCCTACGCCCTTGCACTCACTACTCCAAAACACAAAAAAAGGTACCGGGAAGGACTGGTCATGCTATAGGTCAGTCGCTTTGCGGCGCTGGTGAGTTCTCACTCTTCGGCCTTTGAGACTCGAACCTGGCAGCCCCAGTTGATGTCGTTCACATGCTCTTCACCAGGGGGTGCCCTACACCCCTATTGGCTCACAGGTCGCGACATTTCCCTTCCGTAAATATTCTTTCTCCTCTGGATTTGCCTCCCAATTCTCTTTTCTTGCGCAGGCTATGGTAAGTGTTGAGGCTTGGGGGCATCTGAAAAAATTTATACAGTGGGACGACAGCCCTACGCCCCTAAACCCGAGCCTTAAATCCTCTGCCCTACGAACGCCAAGGAAAGACCAAGTGGCCCATCGTTGCTTTCGTAGCCCTGGGGCTGATGGCCACGGCGGCAGTCTGCGGCTTGGGGTTTTTGGGTTTAGTGTAGGCTTAAGGGTGTTAGGACACCACAGGTTTCAGGGTTGAGGGCAGGGGGTAGTAGGGACCAGGGTATTAGGGTAGAGGCCTCCATATATTCCGAACAGGTCTTTATCTGAATGTGTCCTTCGGTACTTGAAGCCTTTGCTCCATCCTGAAAGTAATCTTAAAATGGGGTTTTCGGAGGGGGGGAATTTCGTACTCGGTTCATGGGTGGTGGGCTGTAGGACACCACATGTGGCTCTTCCCGGCTAGGACTACTGTTCTCCTACCCAGACTTCCAGCGGTGTTTAGGGCGGGAAGAAGGCCGTTGCGCTGCTGATCAAGGGCAGGAACATGGGGGCAGCTCAGACCTCGAGAGTCTTGACATCACCCTCAAGTGCGGGTGAGGATGAGAGTGAGGGGCGACAGCATCCACAAAAACCCTAAACCCTAAACCCTAAACCCTAAGCCCTAAACCCTAAACCCTAAACCCTAAGCCCTACACCCTAAACCCTTAAACCCTAAGTGCCCCCCCGAAATTCCTATGACCTGAAACGTTGTGAGGGTGCCGGTTCCGATCCCGGCGCCGCGTCGAACCTAAATGATGTTCAGAAGGGTTGAAGGGTTGGCAGTAGCTCTAATTTTCATTCAAGAAACAAGTCAGCAGACCCTAAACCCTAAACCCTAAACCCTAAACCCTGAACCCTGAACCCTGAACCCTAAACCCTAAACCCTCAACCCAAAGCCCTAACCCCTAAACCCTAAACCCTAAACCCTAAACCCTAAACCCTAAACCCTAAACCCTAAACCCTAAACCCTAATTTAGGGTTTCGGGTTTAGATGTAGGGTGTAGGGGTTTAGGGGTTTAGGGTTTAGGGTTTAGGGTTGAGGGTTTAGGGGGTTAGGGGTTAGGGTTTGGGGCACGAGGCGCGCATCCCATCTCCACCAAGGTCGTCGTGCTCGGATGCTGGGCATGGAGAGGAGGCGCTTGAGAGCTTTGCCCATGTGGAACCCATAGCTGCTCTAAACCCTAAACCCTAAACCCTAAACCCTAAACCCTAAACCCTAAACCCTAAACCCTAAACCCTAAACCCTAAACCCTAAACCCTAAACCCTAAACCCTAAACCCTAAACCCGCCCGCCCCCCCTCAAAGCTCTATTGGGGTAGGCGGGCGCAGTCGAGCGCTCAGCGAGACCAGGGCAGGCTTTGCTGGGCTGCAGAGCCTGCCAACCGCACCCCTGAGGGGTCGCCAAGCTAGAGTCGCCTAGCATTGTCACAGATATATTGTATTACCCTAAAACCTTCGGGGGGATCCTTTGCCTTTAAAACTGGTTTGTGGGCCTGGAGGCCCCTGGAGGCCCCTGGAGGCCCCTGGAGGTTCCTGAGGCCCCTTGAAAATTCCTGCGGAGCTCGGACGCCTGGAGGCACCGTGAAGGGTCGTGGAGGCCCCTGATGCCAGCCCGTGAGGTTCCTAGAGAGGCCCTTCAACCCTTTGGAGGCCCTTGGAGAGCCTTGGAGGCCCCTGCTGGCCCGTCCTTTGTCTTGGCCCCAAATAAGCCCCAGGCCGCAACCTATTCACGTCTCCTTTGCCTTATGGCCCCAGGCTGCAACCTACTCACGCTTGAGTTTTTCTATGAGAAGGCCCTTCAACCCAGACCGTCCCCTTCGCAAAAACCTAAAAGGGGATCCTTAGCCTTATGGCCTCCCAAGTGATCCCCAATCGGCAATTGCGAGGGTCCTTCGGCCCAGACCCCCCTTCGCACAAACCTTCTGGTCCCAGGTGACCCAGCGTTCATGCCCTGATATTTACTATGAGAGGGCCCTTCGGCCCAGACCATCCCCTACGCAAAAACCTGGGGGGGGTCCTTAGCCAATCGCAAATGTCCCAAGCACTCTCAGTCTTTCCTCTGAACTGTTCGATGTTTGAGTTGTGAATGGTTGGCTTGGCTTGGGCTGGCTCCGGTTTGGTTCGTAATGAGTTGTGATTGGGTGGCCTTGGGGTGGGCATGTCTTCACACTATTGCGTTCAGCTGACCCGTGCTACACCCTAAACCCTAAACCCTAAACCCTAAACCCTAAACCCTCAACCCTCAACCCTCAACCCTCAACCCTGACCCCTCAACCCTCAACCCTAAACCCTAGAAACCCTAAACCCTCAACCCAAAGCCCGAAGCCCTAATTAAACCCTAAGCCTTCAACGCAAGAAGGGTCCATAGTGAAGCTTCCCATTGTGGGAGCCGCTCCTCTCCCCTGTTTCTCGAAGCGACCCCTCGATATACCTCCTGAACCAACTCTCTTGCCAGATTCTTTCCCCGTAATCTCTGAACCCTAGACACTAGACCCTAACCCTAAACCCTAAACCCTAAACCCTAAACCCTAATTCCTAAACCCTAAACCGCTAAGCCCCAAGATGCTAAGCCCCAAAACGCTAAACCCAAAACCCTACAAACCCTAAAATGTGAGACCAAACCAGAGCCTTCAGAGCATCCAACCGCCAAAGCGCTTGTGCGTGCGATGGTGCCGTGGCTCAGGGTCAGTTGAGGAGTGTCATGGAGTGCCACTCATGCAGGGGATGTTTCAAGCTCACACCCTAAACCCTAAACCCTAAACCCTAAACCCTAAACCCTAAACCCTAAACCCTAAACCCTAAACCCTAAACCCTAAACCCTAAACCCTAAACCCTAAACCCTAAACCCTCAACCCTCAACCCTCAACCCCAAACCCTAAACCCTAAACGACTACAAGACAAGCCTCCTCGCGTGCATCAGCGACCCTTTGATGCCGCACCGTCTACCGCCTAACTGAAGTTCGTTTCGGCCTCCGCCTCGGCTCAGGGTTCAGGGATCTTTAGGGTTTAGGGTTTAGGGTTTAGGGTTTAGGGTTTAGGGTTTAGGGTTTAGGGATATTTAGGGTTTAGGATTCAGGGTTTTAGGGATACGTATAGGGTTTCGGGAGGATTAGGCGTAAGGGTTTGGGGATATGTATAGGGTTTATGGATAATCTGGGTTTAGGGATAAATTTGGGTTTAGGGTCTAGGGCCTAGGGATGTTTGGAGTTTGGGTCTTTGGGATTCATCTAAACAGTTCCACAACCCCCACCCCCCCCCCCTTCCCTCCTCCTCCCCCCCCCCCCTAAACCCTAAACCTAAACCCTAAACCCTAAAACCTAAGCCCTAACCCTAAACCTAAACCCTAAACCCTAAGCCCTAAACCCTAAACCCAAACCTAAACCCGAAACCCTGAACCCTAAATCCTTAGCCTAAACCCTAAAACCCTAACCCTAAACCCTAACCCTAACCTAACCCTAACCCTAAACCCTAACCTAACCTAACCCTAACCCTAAACCCTAAACCTAAACCCTAGACCCTAGACCCTAGACCCTAGACCCCTAAACCCCAAACCCAAACCCTAAACCCCAAACCCTAACCCTACCCTACCCTATACCCTATACCCTATACCCTACCTAACCCTAAATCTTAAACCCTAAACCCTAAACCCCCCCCCCCCCCCCCCTCACCCCGCGGGTCTAGTTCAGGCCTCGCTGCCTTGCCCAGCCCATTGTGGCTCCGAGCCCAGCCCAGCCAACAGCAAGTTGCATGAGCCTCAAGTCCTATAGGGTTTAGGGTTTCGGGTTTAGGGTTTAGGGTTTAGGGCTATGCCCCTCAAGGATTCAGGATTTCGGGTTTAGGGTTCAGGGTATAGGGTTCAGGGGTTCAGGGTTCAGGGTGGGTTTAGCTAAGCCTCGATGTGCCATGCTCCGTGCATGCCCAGTATAGTACGACTACTCCTTCTTTCGAGACTCTTGAGGGCTCCCTATCTTTGAAAAGGCCCCTGTGATGCACAAGCAATCGCCCCTGCTTCTCTTGGGCTCGCTGCCCTCCCACACGGAGGGCGTTCTAAGCAAGCCTTCCGCCATGGCGCTAAGCTGCGCCCCCCTTCTGGCCGCGCCGGCTGCGGTGGCGGGGCCTTCGCAGGCCCAGCTGGTTTCAGATTCAGGGCGTGGGGAGGAAGCCCTGAGCTGGTTTAGTGCCCGAAACCCTAAACCCTAAACCCTAAACCCTAAACCCTAAACCCTAAACCCTAAACCCTAAACCCTAAAACCCGACACCCTAAAACTCGGGCCCGACTCTAAACGCACAAAAAGCCGGCATCCGGCCGGGCCTTCGCAGGTCCATGTCAGGGCCGGCGCATGGGCCCCCCGCGGCCGATCAAGCCGAGGGGTTCTGGCGGCAGGAGGCATTCTTCTGGCGTGCCTAGGCCTGGAGTTACTTGGAAGGTTTAGGGTTTAGGGTTTAGGGTTTAGGGTTTAGGGTTCAGGGTTCAGGGTTTAGGGTTTAGGGTTTAGGGTTTATGACTTGGTAGCGCAGTCGTACCCTTCCCCCTGTTTTTGTTTCTGGGTTCCCTTGTACAGTAACCAACCAAGAAACACGGAGACCCTTTTTCTAACGTGGTTGCTGAGCTACTGTGGTTAGGGTTCAGGGCGTAGGGGGCGCAGGGTGTATGAGGTTTGTGGGGTTTATGGGGTTTGAGGCTTCTAGGGCTTATGAGGAGTTGGGGGCTTAGGCTTTTGGCTTCTTGATTCCTTCAGTTGTCCTCTAGACTCTTCAAGCCGAGGGTTGAGGGTTGAGAGCCTTTGCCTCGACTCTGACGGACGCTGGGCAGACGGCCATGTCGTGTGCTCGGGGATTGGGTTCGGCCTAGGGGCAACCCTCCCAACCCTAAACCCTAAACCCTAAACCCTAAACCCTAAACCCTAAACCCTAAACCCTAAACCCTAAACCCTAAACCCTAAACCCTAAACCCTAAACCCTAAACCCTAAACCCTAAACCCTAAACCCTAAACCCTAAACCCATAACCCTAAACCCTAAACCCTAAACCCTAAACCCTAAACCCTAAACCCTAAACCCTAAACCCTAAACCCTAAACCCTAAACCCTAAACCCTAAACCCTAAACCCTAAACCCTAAACCCTAAACCCTAAACCCTAAACCTTACTTAGAGTCACCTTTTCCTCAAGAACACGTACATCTACCCAAGAGGCAAGGCCTGCCTCCCTGTTTAGGGGGATACAGGTTCTCCTAAGAACCCTCAGCCCTCAGCCCTCAGCCCTCAGCCCTCAGCCCTAAGCCCTAAGCCCTAAGCCCTAAGCCCTAAGCCCTCAACCCTCAACCCCTCGACCCTAAACCCTAAATCGAGATGCAAGAAGCCCTGAGGTGGCGAAGAAAGGTGCTGCACACGGCCCGTTTGGCCGCGCGCCCGAAACCCCGCAGCCAGCCGATGCCCGCGGATCAGAAGGTGTACCCGGCCAAGGATAACGGGTTTAGGGTTTAGGGTTTCAGGTTAAGGGTTTAATGTCTAGGGTTTAGGGTTTGAGGTTTAGGGTTTAGGGTTCGGGGGGGTTCCCGAAGAAGCCAGCATGGCCGGAGCCCATCGACTCAAACGCATAGGTGGGCGGTTGAAGCCCCTAAGTTAGACCCTTCAAGCCTGCAAGCCCTCTCAGAAAACATAGGCCCAAAAACCCCGAGTTTCGGGTTTATTCTAAACCACAGACAAGGTGTACTTGGCGAAGCGCTTTAGCTGACAGGTTTTGGGCTGAGTCGGTTTCAGGTTTTTGTGGGTCTGGGGTCTAAGGGCCCGGGGTCTATCAGGACTTGTGGTTTCAGAGGTATGCCTGAGGGTGTTGGGTCACAGGGTTGTAGGGTTTAGGGGTCAAGGGCTGTATAAATCACCCGAAATCCCCAACAGGATCTCTGTAGCCCTAAGCCCTAAACTCTAAAGCCTAAACCCTTCACCCTAAATTTAAAATCAAAGTTTCTTAAAATCCGCCCAAAAAAGGAGCTCTGCAGCCGCTGTGGCTTCTGCAACACCTCGCTCGTTGGCCGCGTCCACGAAGCCTGCGCCTTCCTTGGCGAAGGCCGTTTAGGGTTTAGGGTTTAGGGTGAAGGGGCAGGAGTTTTTGGGTTTCTGGTTCTGGGGTTTGGGGT